ATATACACACACACATTCTTTACAGGTTTCGTGAGATTCACCAATTGAACTTGGCCAAAAATGATATTCCCACATATAATCAGGGGACTAAAATTCAGGAAACAACAGCACTGTCACTGTTTGACTGCAAAACATTGCTTGACACAATTAAATGTGGCGGCACGGTCTCACCTCGTCCACCTTGTGGCGGTTGGAATCAAAGGTGACGTTAAAGAGGATCTTCAGGATCTCCATGGCTCGCTCCGTCTCCTGTCTCCCCAGCGGGGGTAGCTCTGAGCAGCCGTCAAAGTCTGCACGCGCCACCTCGTACGTGTCGGGCCAGCAGAGGCCGAGCGTGGCATCCAGAGCCTCGGACAGCAGACTAACCCCCCGCAGCTCGCGGGCCAGCTGGGCTCTTACGTCCACACGCAGGGCGGTGATCAGGAACGTGAGGCGCAGGTCGAAGAATCGCACGTAGTGGTTCCACTGCGGCTCGCGGCACTGTTTCAGCCTCTCGGCCAATCCCACGATCAGCTGGAGCTCCGCCCCCGCCTCCTGAGCCGCCTCGCTGTTGAACACGATGTTGCACAAGCACTTCAGGGCCTCCACGATCACTTCCAGGTCCGGGATCTCGGGCGTGAAGCCCTCACCCTGACCGAGGCCAGCATGTCGGATCAGGATCTGCATGGCGTGGCGGGTGGCAAAGGGAACCAGGCTCTTCTTGTCACGGGACAGGATGCGGATGGTTTCCAGGCAGGCCAGCTGACAGGACGGCTGGAGGTCTCTCTCCAGGAAGCCCAGCACTAACTCGCCCAGATGCTGAGAGATGAGAGAGAGTTAACAGAGTTACAGTTAACGGCAGCAACCAACTCTCCACCATCACCTTATGGGCCAGCGGTTCTCAACTGGTTTTGCTTCAAAATCCAGATTTAACAATTTGCGTACCAACGCTTTTGTTTACTATTTGTTTACTTTAGATTTTTACTACTTAAAAAAGACTTGAACATTTTTAATTAAAAAATGAAATAAAAATGTAAAAATTATAATATAAATACATAACATAATTAAAAAATATATAAGTACTGAAAAATTACATTAGTACAATTTTTTATGATTTTGAAAGAAGTCTCTTATGCTCATCAAGGCTGCATTTATGTGATCAAAAATATAGTAAAATCTGCAAAATGGTGAAATGTTATTGCAATTTAAAGTGTCACGGGACAGGATGCGGATGGTTTCCAGGCAGGCCAGCTGACAGGACGGCTGGAGGTCTCTCTCCAGGAAGCCCAGCACTAACTCGCCCAGATGCTGAGAGATGAGAGAGAGTTAACAGAGTTACAGTTAACGGCAGCAACCAACTCTCCACCATCACCTTATGGGCCAGCGGTTCTCAACTGGTTTTGCTTCAAAATCCAGATTTAACAATTTGCGTACCAACGCTTTTGTTTACTATTTGTTTACTTTAGATTTTTACTACTTAAAAAAGACTTGAACATTTTTAATTAAAAAATGAAATAAAAATGTAAAAATTATAATATAAATACATAACATAATTAAAAAAATATAAGTACTGAAAAATTACATTAGTACAATTTTTAATGATTTTGAAAGAAGTCTCTTATGCTCACCAAGGCTGCATTTATGTGATCAAAAATATAGTAAAATCTGCAAAATGGTGAAATGTTATTGCAATTTAAAGTAAACGTTGTCTATTTTAATATATTTTAAATTGTCATTCACTTCTGTGATGGCAGAGCCATTCAGACCTTCAGAAATCACTCTAATATCCTGATTTAATGCTCAAGAAACATATCTTAGTATTATTAATATTGAAAACAGTTGTGCTGCTTAATATTTTTGTAAACATTTTTATTTTTTATTTGAAATACATTTTTTTTTCAGGATTCTTTGATGAATAGAAAGTTCAAAAGAACAGCATTTATTTAAAGTAGAAATCTTTTGTAAAATTATAAATGCATTTACTGTGACATTTGGTCAGTTCAATGCATCCTTGTTGAATAAAAGTATTAATTTCTTCCTTTCAAAAAAAAAAACTTGACTGACTACCATTTGAAGAGTAGTTCATATTTTAGATTTTAAATCTAAAACACATAAAGAGATATAAAAAGATTTTAAAATAAATACAAATATATAACATATATTTAAAAATACAGTACATATAAATACATAAATTACAAAAATACATAACAATTACACGCCTGTGACCCTATCAAAACTGACCTATTAAGAAACCCACCAATTGAGAAACACTGTTACAGGCTACATGAGAGAATCTCATGGGTGTTATTTTCATGTGATTCAATGTGGTTAAAAACGATCATACTTAAGACGAAACATACTTGAGACCTGTTTATGCTAGAGTAGCAGCATAACAACATTATGTCCATTTATTCTCCGCTCTTCCCAAGGTATGAATCACATTGGGTGTTGTAGAAATAGACACCTGGAGTTTCTGAGAGGGATCATTCATTATTGTTAGAGCAGACAGCTTGCTATATACACGGGTGGATGACTGACAACTCCTCAAATTCTCCCTGACTGTGTTTCACTGCCAAGACCTCCAACTGTCTCACTGTAGAATTTACAGTTACCAAATTGGAGTCCAAGTGTGACACGTCCTTACATAACCCAGTCAAGCAATGAACCAAACGAGATCTGTTTGAAACACATCTGTGACATCACACCATGATAACCAAATATAGCAGCATTATGGAGTTACAGTCTTTAGTTGGGGTTTTCAAAGTGGGTTCTGCCGTTTTATTGTAAAATGCTATCAAAAATACACTTTAGAAATAATTGTGTACTAATAATTATTTAGAATTTATACAAATATTTTCCAAATAATATTTTAATAATTTATTTTGTCTTAAGTATAAATGAAATGATTATCATTAAATTAAAACAGCAACAAAAATTGTCTTTATAATTTCGCCAAAAATAGCAGCAAAGTGTTATCACAGGTTTTTTAAACGGGCGTCCTCAGAAAATTTAGGAGAAAAAAATTGTAAAAAAAAAAATTTTTTTTAACCAATTTATTGTAAAAGTGCTATAGAAATACATTTTATAAATAAATATTTATGAATGATTGTTTTGAATTCATACAAATATATTTCAGATAAAAATATAATGATATCTTTTGCCTTTAGTACAAATTAATTAAATTGCAAGTTGCGACAAAAACATGTCTTCATAATATCACTCCAGCTCATTTTTCTCATACAGTATAAAGAGAAAGAGGGTCCCTTGCAATGCAGTCATCATGTTTGGGGGTCCTTGGCATCAGAAGGTGCTATATTGTGGTAAGACAATGATTAAAATGACAAGACGTCAGCCTTTATATAAGAGGCTAGAGTCAAAAACAGCAACGAAGGAAACTGCAAGTCAGTTCATATTAGAGACAAAAGCAAAAATGTGGTCAGCAAAAGTGCAGTTTGGGAACAGGATGACCAGAACTGAACACTAAAATTAACACTAAAAAAATAACTGGGATGATAGTGAAAAGTGCAAATAAAAATCTTGCTTTCTCTGCTCCTTTTTAAAAGCTTTTCTATTTTTGCATGAATTCATGACTAACATTTTATAGTTTGCATTAAGCATTGATTTTTCTCTGCTTTCCTCAACCCACCAGTACAGACCTGCGAGCCATTTTCGGGTCGTGACCCATCAGTTGAGAACCGCTGATCTAGATATTAGCATTGGCCATTTAAAGGCTCACATTGATTGACTACTAGCTTCAACATCACCAATGTGCTCAAATGGGAAAATATTGCAATTCAAATGAGACAGCATACAGATAAAGGTATCATTTTTGGCTTGTTTCTGAACCACATTGATTCCCATTAAACATTCTCCATCCATCTCAACACACTATCATCTTATAAAACCCCAAAGTGTATTTCTTTATATTTTTGGAATGATCCTGTCATGTGATACTATTAAACCTTCTTTGTTATACAGTGAAGTCAAAATACTAGATTCATCTAGCATTAGCCAATCAGGAATGAGAAATAGGCTTTGGGTTCTTAGCTAAAGCTATGCTACATCTAAATCATCAAGCTACCCATATACCTCTTGCAAATGTCCATCCTACCAAAAATACAAGCACATAAAGTCAAAGAAAGAACACATTTCAATAGCAGTGCTATAAAATAGGATTCATTTGACATCACCTGATATAAGCACACTAGCTTCGTATATTTATTGGAAATCAATTGAAGATTTTGGTTTTGAAATATTAATGAATATTTATGAATACTGAAAGTAATGTATCTAAAATGGCTAGACAAAGCATTAAAAAGCTCACTGTTCAGGGTTGAATTGCTGACTGCTTGCATTATGATGTCGAGTAAGGCTTACCTCTCTGTCTTCCTCCTCCCCAGGGGTAAATGAAAAACACTGTGATTTCTAAAAGAGAAAAAACAACATAATGTGAAACACAAACATTTATGCATGAATACAAAAGATACTGCAAAGGAATAGTCCACCCAAATATTTACATTTGTTGTAGAGTTTGAATTTGGAAAAATTTAGCTTTACATCACTTGCTCACCAATGGATCCTCTGCAGTGAATGGGTGCCGTCAGAATGAGAGTCCAAACAGCTGATAAAAACATCACAAATATTTCACACGAGTCCATCAATTAACATCTTGTGAAGCAAAAAGCTGCATGTTTGTATTGATGAGGGCAATTGAAACCATTACTTCTGGTCAAAATACAAGTCTATAATCCATAATAATGCTTGAATCCACCGACATATTTGTTAAAAATGTTTTGGACTTTTTTTTGCTTGTAAACGGTGCTTGAAACCAATATTATGGACAGAAAACTTGTATTTTAGCTGGAAGCAACGGTTTGAAGTTAAAAACGTCATATTGATGTATATGTTTATTACAAACACACAGCTTTTTGCTTAACAAGATGTTAATTGATGGACTGGAGTTGTGTGAATTATTTGTGATGTTTTTATCAGCTGTTTGGACTCTCGTTCTGACGGCACCCATTCAATGCAGAGGATCCATTGATGCGCAAGTGATAAATTAAATTATAATATTAATTTATAATCTCTTGGTATGTATCAGTGACACATCAGTTTTGTCCTAAAGCATGATTAGAGCACTTAACCGCATGAACCTCTGTGATACCGGCTCACGAATCATCAGGATCAGTCTAAGAAATCTAGATCTTCTTTATGCACCAAGAGCTTGTAACACTCCAAAGAGAAAGGAAAAAATGAAATCGCATCATATGACCCCTTTAATAAAATAGGATTTAATAGATTTTAATGAGACTTAAAGACAACAGCTGCTAAATTTGGGTTATATTAAATACACTATAAAAAAGTGTAACCTGAAAAAAAAATAAAAAAATCCAACAACCACACAATTCACTGTATTTGCTAAAACAAAATATATTACAAACAGTTTCCTGTTTCATTTGAATGCAGCTGCATGTTTCCGTTTATATTTAAGGCAGTTACATAAAAAACTTTGTATTCTAAGGAAGTATTTTGTTGAACAAAACAATGGCAAATAAATCACGACAACTCATCTACTGTCTTTGTTCGTTGAGACATGAATAGATTGAATAGATGATATATGGACAGTTCTGAGGATAAATGTAGACATATTAAAAAGCACCTTAACCTGCAAAGCCTGCTGGGATATATTAACATATTCCACACACACACACACACACACACACAACTACAAGGAATTGTGGAAGAGGGTTACAATTACAATACATTGAAAATGTATCCCCTGTGGATGCAGGTACTTATGCAAATAAATGGAAACAACATGTACTTTCCGATCACAAAGAAACATGGTTTCAAGTTTGTTTTTGATTTTAAATTTACATGAACTAAAAAAAAGGGAAATTCCACAATCCCAAAGATTTTATCCGTCATGATTCTTGTGCGCTTTTCTTATCGATGACAGTGTTTCTACACTGACCTCTAGTGGTTGCAAAGGAACATCAGCTTAGCTCTGTTGACCTAAATGTAACTGACAAGATTTCTGAAATAGTTCGTGGCACTAAATCTGATTTTTATGTAACATTGCCAGTAAGTTAAGGAAACTAACTGAAGGGAATCAAGGCCATGTTTCCCATCGGCATATCCCAATGAATCTGGTTTAACCATAACAAACCACTTCCCCTTTCCACATTAAAGTGTTGTTTACACTAAGACCGCTCAACATCTTAGAGTGATTGATTCATTCATATTTTGTTGTTTGAGGAAGATCCCTCTAATTATCAAAGGGTTTTTATTTGTGTATGACCTTGTATTGTCTGTGATGTAACATCAACAGCATTAACTGTACTTTGAAATGTCTGTCAGAATATAATTTATACATTAAAGAGGCAACGAAAACCTTGCTGTTTTTGAATTTGACAGAAACAGAAACAGAGAAAAAACTTTCACACTTCGTCTTTCTATCTTATTAACTTATTTTCTTTTAAACAGTACCATAAAATCTCCAAATGGGTGCAAATTCACACCATTTACTGATGACTCAGTGGAATTGCTGACTGAGTTTGTCTGTTCTATTGTATCAAGTCAGCAATGTGTGAATTTCAACCTTTGTGTGATTGTCTCAAACATTTGTGACTCACACATAATAAAGGTTTTTAAAGTGTATTATGGTTACCGTCAAACACTGTTTGGGTGTCTAGCTCAAGAATAACTATACAATACATTTGGTCAGCCAACCCAAGACATAGTTTCAGTAACATTATTGTTTGGTACACATTTACATTGCACTTTTATCAGCCTTTAAACCTTGAATATCATGGGAGGACATACCTCTAGTCAATTTAGTAGTGTCATTTTTATTTTTGCTTATGTATAATAAACACTTTTTAATTTTCCCAAAGATTCTGGACCAGGAAATAAGTAGGGCTGGTGCTGCTGTTAATATTTGCATGCTGGGTTAGTGCCATTGAGCCTAGTATGCAGGGGAAACCCCTCTCAGTGGTATGAGACTTTTACAGGAAACTAAAGTTTCTCTGCACAGGTTTCACCTGTTTAGTGTGTAATCATTTGTCATGAGGAATTCAATTACAATAATATGATGAGTTTCTACTGTACGTGAATGGGATGTGTTGTCAAAGTCAAGTAAAAATGTAGACCATATGAATAAACTACATAGTGTTTTGTGTTGTGTGATCATTTATTTGAAAAAGCTTTAATAAATATACAATAGAAAATAGATTAATTAAACAAGAGTGATAATACATGAGCAGGAAGTAGGCCTGTGCCTATAGTTTCACTGTACACAAGGTAGGCTAGGTGAAAAGCATATTGACATTAATAGGCCTATAACATGAATGAATTTACTGAACAAATACAGATGCTTACCACTTTTCTGTAGGGCTGCGTTACGTATCCAGGTCACCCGTGTCTGTTTTTCTGTCAAAACAAAGTATAACTCAGCGAAAAGATTTCTTTCAAGAGTAAAAAACTGAAAGATAGGCTACTGTGGTAAAAAAGTGAAAACGTGTAGTTGTCGTTCCCTCAAATTGTAAATTATTTCGTCATCTACTCACTCGCATGTTATAAACATGCATGACTTTCTCTCTAAAACAACTTAAAAGGGAAACTATATGAAGAAAAGTGGCCTGTGTGCTGGTGGCTTGCACACATGATTCACGCGCTATATTCATGATAATATATAAAGTCATAATTTCATGTGACACGATAGTTTTATCGTGAGTCGAACTCTAGAATCGGATCAGTCCAAAACATCAATGAATCAGAGCAGTTTGGCGAATCGAACTTTTCACTGAAGAGATCCGACTCAAAAGAACGATTCGATCGTGATTCCATCGTTTGGACCAATGACAACATTTTCAATTTAAATATATCACATTTTCTATTTCATGGACATAAGGGTGAGTAAATAAAAACAGACGTTTGATTTTTATAAACTATATAACCTAATTTGGGGTTGATTCAGTCCTAGTGAGTAATATTTTGACTTGAAGGTTGTTCACATCAAGAATGATAACTAATATAAGCCACAAAGCCTCCTCTGATCCAAGATCAGCTGATAGACTCCCGTCTGTTGCTGCTGTCTTTATACCTGTGGTTATCTGCCATCTCTTCCCTGTTCTGGATGCTGCATCTGATGATCAAGGTGCTTTAAATAATGTAAGAAGTACAACGCACATGGCACATTCAAATAGGTTCATAATCAGTGTGTTTTGAGATACTGGATCGTTTAAACATGTAAAACAGCATGCTAATGCTATCTCATTCTACGTATAAAGGCCTTATTTAGGGTGAAATTGATGAGCTGTGCAAGTGCATGAACTGCAAAAACCATTTTAAATCAGAATTTTGTTTCACTTTCCTTTAAAAATATCCTTAAAAATATCTTTAAAGCAAGAGAAAAAAAGTAGTTAAGTAGGCCTATATATAATAATAAATCTATTGCATTGAAAAGTTGGTCTATTCATGCATTAAATTAGATGTATGCAACATGGATACAATTATATGCATACAATTAGATGTATGTGGTGCAACCCTTTGGCCCAGCTCTGAATATATTAGCATGTCGTTCCTGTGATTTGGCCGAACAGTGTGTTGCGACATGCACCAAACAGCTGGCTGTCTTTCATTTTTAAATTTTTCCTGCTCAGTCTAACAGCAGACAGTGTGAAAGATGAGACGCTGTCAGACATACTCATTTGCTCTACTTCAGCCTCTCTTCTGTCCATGCCACGGCCTTTGAGCGTGCCATCCATGGATTTCATGAAGAAAAGTTATGTTTTATGTGCAGCATGTGTATTAGATCAGGGGTTCTCAAACATTTTTTGAACCAAAGGCTCCTTTCATAGGCCAAAATTATTCACCAACACCACTATGAGAAAATATACTAGGGGAAATAACAATATATACCTATGCATTAATACCTAATTTAAATGATTAATATTTGATACATTTAATAAATGATTTTTAAAAAATAAATTAATATTTAAAAAAATGCATTTGAGGATGATAATAATGCATTATGAATGATCATAAATGAACAATAGAAAATGTTTAATTTGACATTAACTGTAATATAATGATTATATTATAATTGATAAAAAACCTTAACCTAGATTAATAAACAGTTAACAAACAACAACAACAAACATCAGTTAACAATTAACAGAATGAACCATAATGATATCAAATCAGAATTATTGCAGTTAACGAAAACTTAAAACTTAATTAAAAAACATTTTTGGTACTTGAAATAAAATATATGGTAACTGAAATACTTAAATTAAAACTAAAATATTTATTAAAGCTATATGTAAAATAAATGAATAAAGGGTTGCACTTTATTTTAAGGTGTTCTTGTTACAGTGTAATTATATATTTAAGTACTGAGTATGTACTTATTATATGG